CCTTACATACCTTAGTTTGTGGTTATTTGATTATTTTCATTCTTGAACTCCATTTTTTTGAACAAGTATGGGGGGGACATAAATAGTAGAAGTGTAGGTTATTTTTAGTTGTTTTTGAGTATTTTGTTCCTTCTTTCCATTCCTTCCTTACCAGTTTTCCTTGCTATCTTTTGTTCAAATTTGCATTGAGGGCAATGCAAGGATCAAGTGTGGGGGAGTAATGTTGTGTTTTTGTGTGTAAAACCTCAGTTTTCAAAAAAAAAAACTTTTTGAAGGTTTAAGCTTGGTTCAGGAATTCTAATGTTACATTTGTGACTGATTTGATTTGGAAATTAATATCCTGAAGTGAAATTTTCTAATGCATAGAGATTAAGCATGATGTGTTCTTTAGCTGAAGTGAATGAATATGGAAGACAAAGTCTAGTTGGAAGGATTCTTTGAGCCTTTATATTCATCTCTGGTGTGTGCATTCACTTATTTCTTATGCCCTCTAGAACTTGTCTTAGTTTTAATCAAGACCACATGCAACATTAGTACTCTTGAACATGATTGAGGCATTCATTCAAATTAGCTACTTAGACCAAATGGCCAACCCCTACATGAGTTATCCCTTGTTACCCATTTGAGCCTTTTAGTTGAATTTTTCCATTCATTTCACTCTCAATTATAAAACTTCTTTCCTACAAGGATGCATATTTCATTTCATTCATTCTTTTCAGAATTCACTAGCATTTTGATGGATTCAATTAATGGATTGATATGAGGAAGTGCATACTTGAGCTAAAAAAAAAACTGAAAGAGAAAAAGAAAAGAAGAAACATGCGAAATATATAAAAAAAAACAGAGAGAAAGAGAATAGAAAAGTTGAAAAGAAATAAAAAAAAGCAAGAAAAGAAAAGAAAGTGGGAATAAAAGCACCTTTATAGCTTTAGACTTCAAGATCAAGAAGTTAAATCCTCAATTGAACATTACTAATGCTATTGAATTCTACACATTGATTCACATATTATCTCTATCCTTCTATGCATTCTTGTGCATTTCTTCCTCACCCTTACATTACAAGCCATAAAAGTCCTCTTGATTCTTGAGTACTTATGTATTTGAGTGGTGGAGAGGTAGAGCTATTACAAGCATATGGTAGAGCATTTGAATAAGTGAATTGAGTGAAAGAACCTTAAATACTTGTGAGTTGAGTGATAAACTAATTCCCTTATGTGGTCTTCTATATCTTATTCACTTAGATTAAATTACATATCATTGCTTGATTTCTTTGCATTAGAATGTTCCATGGATGGATGTTGGTTGAAGAATCATTGTTAGTTGCAGTTGTAACCTGAACTTTTGAGCTTCCTTATTCCTTTCTCTCATCCTTCTCTTTCACAATATGTTTAGACTTGATTTGCCCAGGAGTGCAAAAGCTAAGTGTGGGGGAGTTGATAAGTCTCATTATTTGCATACATTTCTAGCCCTAAACTCATGCTTTTGCCATCTATATTTGCATACTTTGGGCATAATTAGCTTCCATTGTGCATAAGAGTTGGTGAGAGGAATTGTGAGGTTTTATAGGTGTTTTTGCATGTTTTTATATGATTTTATATGTGTGTACTTTTGATCCCTGCTTTGGTATGAATTTCAGGAAGTTTCAGTAGCATTCTCGCCATTCTGTCTGAGGTGCCACGGTTGATTTGGGAAGGCGCCGCGGCAGATTTCCAATGGTACTCTCCATCAAAGGCGTCGCTGCGGATGGACTAAGGTGCCATGGTGGACGGAAGTTTTCATGAAGCTCAGGATCATTAATCAAAACGACGCCATACAGGACAAGCGCCGCGGCAGATTGATGGAGGCGCCGCGATGGATGACAGAAAATTTTAGATTTAAAATGAGAATCGTGCCCTTCAGCGAGGGGACGGGATTTCAGTTTCTCATTCATCTCCAGACGTGATTTTCTTGTTCTCTCCGCCTTCTCTCAATTTCTTCTTCCATTTTCGTCCAAATTCATCACTTTCCACCGATCAATCATGAATCTTTCATCAATTCTTGCTGTTTCTACCCTAATCCAGAGTATGAGTAGCTGAATTTCCAAGTTCTTCTAACAATGAAGCTGACCTGAGTTCATAGAGCTGAACAGGGAGTCATTCAGATCTAGTTTCTACTTTCTATTCTAAGGTTCATTTGTTTCAGTTGAACAATTATGGTTAGAATGAAGGTTGGATGATTAGATTTATGTTTCTTGGAATTTAGATCTGATTGAACATTCAGATGTGAGTTGTGTCCTTTAGTTTAGTTGAATAGAGGATTCTCTGTTGATTTGTAAATCTGATTCGTTTTACTTGGACTGTTGTTCTGTAAATCTGAATTTTGGTTGAATACATTGATGATTCATAGTTGTGGTCATTCTTAGAGAATTGCAACTTGCTTCTCAAGTGTTCTTGTCAATTGATTTTCCTTCTCATAGATCAAAACAATGAATCTAGTAAGATAGTTGTTTCTGATCTATGTTAAGAGAGATTTGAGCAGTAACTAAATCTATCCATTTAATTGACATTAAGAGACTCCAAATTATAAGATTGAACAAGGAAGGTTGGATAACTTGCTAGGGGAACTACTATCTCTTATCTGAATCTTCTTTTGCCTTTTACCTTTCATTAGATTTGTTTCTTGTTTCAATTTCTCTTTTCTGAACTCAAGCTTTCATCTTGGTAATTTGATAATTAAAAGTGAATTGTTAAGAATTGAAATACAACTTAAGGCTCCTTGAGAAGAATGACCTAGGTAGTGCCTCACTTGCTGCATTTCCCTAGTAAAACTTTGATTACCTAGCGACAAGGTCTATTAGTAAGTTAAGGGAGCCTAGGAATTAAATATAAATAATCATATATATGTTCTTATCCCAAACCTTAGAAAAAGCCTTTCGAGCTAGAATTTTGAGTAATAGCTGAATGTATTAGAGGGAGCATTAAAGGTTAGAAATTTGTGAGTAATTTACTCTAATACTGTAGAAATAATTTTTTAATTTCAATTGTAGATATAAACCCTATTGTGGCATTTCCGAGTATGGGCCTCGTTTATGCTTGATTGTTAGCTAGGAGACCAGGTAACTAAATTTCTACCTGTTATATGCATTAGTATAAGGTTGATGAGTGATTTTATAACCAATTTTTGTATACATATATTATGTTTTGTATGAACTGTCTTGTGGGATACTGTTTTGAAAAGGATTGAAATTGTTTGTATTGTTAGAAATTAATGATTATGACTATGCGGTGTTATTCTGGAAATCTGTTGATTATGCATATAAATGTGTTATTTTGAACCCTGTGCATCTGGTTTGGGTGGGGGAAGGAGATGATTGGAGTTATTGAGATGCATATACTTACCACGTGGTATCGGCCTCCATACAGAGCTCTATGGTTGGCTATAATTATTGTCCCACTAGTTCTTCGAGGGACTACGACACCCCACTAATTCTTCGAGGGGGGACCCATGGTCCATTGAGTGCTCTATGGTCTTTGGTCGGTCCATATCACTTGTGTGGTGAGCTTGTCAGAGTAGCCAGTCAATTGGAAAGAACTTAGCCCATGGGTCCAGTCGGCGGAAATAAGGAGGGTATAAGGATAGATTTGGAGTTCATGGACTGCATATAACATGGAATCTTTATTAATGTCTATATCTTTTGAATAATTGAAAAGTATGTTATCTCTTTTAAAATTATCAGTTGCATGAGATTGGCAGATATATTTAACCTATATGGCTATTGTGAGTTCAACTGTTAGATAAGTGTCTATTGACTATTATTAACTCTATGTATCCCACCTGACACCTCGATAGCCCATGCTAGTGTGTGTGATAGGTAGGGATTTAGTTACTGAGATGTTGTCTTATCCCTATTGTTTAACATTTTTTCAGGTGAAAGCTTTAAAGGAGGGACATCAGGGAAGGCTCAGAAGGAGTAAAGCTACATTAGCAACTTGTATCGTCTCCTCGATTTATAAGCTATGTTGTATCCTGTATATTGCCACCTTAGGATAAACTGTGTTTAATTGATTCATGCATTATTATGTGTTATATCCTTTGAGTTGTACTGTTGTGATATGAGTGCTAGTAGTTGGCCAGAGACTTAGGATCGCATGTGATTTGTTTTAATTTATTATAAAATATGAATTTCTCATTTAATTCTTAATATTTCAGTCTATGAGCTATATTATATGTTGTATTTGAATGAGTTAAGAAAAGTTCTTTTATCCGTGATAGGATGTATGATTGGGTGCTACTCTTTTCTATCACAGATAACACTATGATATAGTTCGTTAGTGTAGATGACTGTGATATAATTTGGGTTCGTATTTAGTATGGTTTTATTATAAAAAGCTATTTCTTAAAGTTACTATATATATTTATAAAAAAAGGGGGTTAACTTTTTTAGTTTATTTAGGAAGGTTGTTTCATTTGAAATCCATGATCGGAGTATGTTTACTAGTTTTAGTCCTTTCTATCATGGTTAGTTCTGGTTAGTAAGTGGTGGTGTGACATTTTGGTATCAGAGCCTGGTTTTTCCTTTTTGTGATTTTGAATTGCTTTCTACATGCATATAGTGGCAATATACGTAGTTGCATAAACTTTTCTAAAATGTCCTTAGTTTTCTTGTGTTTTCTTTTGTTTGGTTGTATTCATAGGTTCCATCCTTAGGTGGGGAGAATGGCAAGACCATGAAGGACTGAACCCATAGTAGAGGAGGCTTCTTCTTCTCCGGAATAACTTCTTAATCAACCTAATGATCAACTACCCGAGCAACCTCAACAGCAAAATAACGAGGTTCTACTGACACAATTACGACAAGTAGTGGCTGAAGTCGTGGAAGAAAGGCTTAAGAAGCTGGAGGAGGATATGATGGAAAAAGAAATTTAGAGATCAGAGTAGAGGGAAACCCAGTTGAGAGTAAGAGTGAAGGTGACTTGCAGTCTAGAGAGCGAGGTGCTCAAAGTACTGAGAGCGGGAAAGAAATGGTCCAACAAACCCCGCTAGTGGATGTTTCAATGAAAACAGTATGGAAAGATGTGAGCCGTCATAATCCCCTAAGATTTAAGGGTGACATGAATCCAGTTGAGGCTAAAGGTTGGATTGATAAACTGGAGACCATTTTTAGAGCTGCCCCTTGCATTACTCAGCATAACGTGCAAGTAGCTATTGTGCTGTTAGAGGGACAAGCTAAGTGCTGGTGGGAAAGTGTGAGCCCAGCTGATGACTCACAACTTACTTGGAATGAATTCAAGAGGATGTTCTTCAATCACTATTTTCCACCTGTCCTACATCAAGACAAGGAATCAGAGTTCTTCGCCTTGCAACAAAACAATATGCATAAAGATGACTTCATTGCTAAGTTTATAGACTTGTCCAAGTATGTGACATTGTTGCGGAGGGATGAGGACTCAGGGTGGATGGCTAGGCAATTACGAGAAAGAGCTAGACCAGACTTGAAGCAACAACTTGCCCTGGTTCTAGTGACTGATTTTGGAGATATGTGTACCAACCTTCGAGTTGCAACTAGGCGGACTCGTGAGGCTGAGGAAGCCCGTAGAAGGGATTCTCAAGGGCGATTTTCCTCATATCCTGGACCAACTGGAGGGGTTAGTAAGAGAAATAATACGAGCATAGGAAGTGTAGGTCCATATGGAAAGAATCGAAGTTTAAGCCACAAGAAGTCTGTACAGAAGGGCTCAGCCTAGAAGAGCATAATCTCAAGATCTTAGTCTAATAGAAACCCGATCACTCATTATGAATCAGTGATGTCAACCTCTACTATCCATGGACCTTGCTTACAGTGTGGAAGGAACCATCCTGGAAAATGTTGAGAATGCTACAAGTGTCACAAGATGGGGCACATTGCTCGCTATTGTCCTGAGAATCAGCATAACATTCAGAACTCCAGGGATACTTGATCAATAATGCCAGGCCGTGTCTTTGCTATTACTCAAGAAGAAGTAGGTGCTGCCCCTAACACCATCAAAGGTATGATATCCCTTCACGGACATAATGTCGAAGCACTATTTGATTCTGGTGCTACCCATTCCTTTATTTCTCGTAAATATGTCTTGCATTCTAATTTGCACATCTCTGATATGCCTGTTATTTTGAGTGTGTCTACTCCTATGGGTTTGTCTGTTAGAACTACTCAAGCTTGTTTAAACCTTACGTTAGACTTTAAAGGCCGTAGAACAACAATAGATCTAATTTGTTTGCCATTACAAGGAATGGATGTAATTATTGGGATAGATTGGTTATCACGTCATAATGCTGTGCTAGATTGTAGAAAAAGAGTAGTTGTCTTCCCTGGAGATGTGGTGCCTACAGAACCATCTAGTAGGTCAGTATTCTTATCCGCCGCGCAAGTAGATGAATGCATACAAAAAGGATGTCAAGCCTATGCGGTGTTCTTCTCAATACAAGTGGATATCGAGGAAGGAATCGATCATATTGACGTGGTTAGGGAATTTCCTGAAGTCTTCCCTAAGGAAATGATCGGGTTACCTCCTGAATGAGAAGTCTAGTTTACAATTGATTTAATACCAAGCACAACACCTATATCCAAGACTCCTTACTGAATGTCTCCATCTAAGTTGAATGAATTAAAAAGACAGATAGAGAAAGGGTTCATTAGACACAGCGTATCCCCATGGGGATCTCCAGTGTTGTTTGTTAAGAAGAAAGATGGGAGCATGCGTTTGTACATCGACTATCAACAGCTGAACAAGGTAATAATCAAGAACAAGTACCCCTTGCCTGGAATAGATGATCTATTAGATCAGCTGGTGGGATCTTCAGTCTTTTCTAAGATTGATTTGCGGTCAGGCTACCATCAACTTAGAGTGAAAGCAAAAGATATCTCTAAGACTACTTTTCGTACGAGATATGGACATTATGAGTTTTTGGTGATACCATTTGGGTTGACTAATGCCCCAGCAGTGTTTATGGACTACATGAATCGAATTTTTAGACCTTATCTGGACCAGTTCATAGTTGTATTTATTGATGACATCTTAATCTATTCAAAAAGTGAAGCAGAACATCGAGAACACCTAAGAGTTGCACTACAAGTGTTGAAAGATCACAAGCTTTATGCAAAGTTAAGCAAGTGTGAGTTTCGGTTGAAGGAAGTAAACTTTCTAGGCCATGTGGTTTCAGCAGAGGGGGTCGTAGTAGACCCGAGTAAAGTAGACGCTATGCTGAAATGGGAGTCACCCAAGTCAGTTACAGAGGTTAGAAGCTTTATGGGATTAGCAGGATACTATCACAGGTTTATTAAAGGATTTTCTCATATCGCCATGCCATTAACGAAACTGACAAAGAAAGATCAACCATTCATCTGGACTGATAAGTACGACGTTGCATTCCAAGAGTTGAAATCCTGATTAACAACCACGCCTATTCTTACTATCTCTGACCCGAATCGGCCATACACCCTATATAATGATGCCTCATTGAAAGGTTTAGGTGTCATATTAATGCAAGATAGGAAGCGGTAGCATACGCTTTACGACAGCTAAGATCCCATGAAGTAATCAAACAAAAGTTGCTGACTGTACAAAGTAGACAGAAAAGCTATGCCGATCAAAGATGAAGACCGCTAGAGTTTGAGGTAGGGGATCATGTGTTCTTGAAGGTATCTCCTACTACCGGTATTGGTAGATCCATTAAAGCTAAAAAGTTGACACCCAGATACATTGGACCGTATGAAATCCTAGAAAGAATTGGGTTAGTAGCCTACCGTATTGCACTACCTCCACACTTGTCAAAGGTGCATGATGTATTTCATGTCTCCCAATTGAAGAAATACCAGCCAGACCCATCACATATTATAGAATTAGAAGAGGTGGAACTACGAGAAGAATTGACTTATAAAGCAGAACCAGAGAGAATCCTTGATGTCAAGGATAAGGAATTGCAGAATAAGACTATTAGACTCCTCAAGGTCTTCTGGAAGGGCATGTCACATGGGGATATTACTTGGGAAACTGAGGAGAGAATGCGTCGTGACTATCCTCATCTATTCGATAAAGGTATGAACATGTCATCCTTTATTGACTTTTGAGGACAAAATTTCTTTAGGTGGGGAGAACTGTTACATCCTTATTTTTATCTAGCATTTGATTAAATTTATAAATAAATATATTTTAGTATTAAGTTAATAAAAAAAAGTTAGATATAGGCAAATTATTATTATTATTATTTTAATAATGTTTTTGTGTGTGATTGTGTGTGTGTGTGGATGATATTCTAGAAAATTATACCATGGTATAGAAGTCCCACATCGACTAATCTTTAGAGTAGAGGAGTTTGAGGAGCCTATATATAGGAGATAGTGAGTGGACCTTGAAGTAAGTAAATAATTTTTACACAAATCTGAGGTAGTCTCAAAAAAGTGCTAGTTTCGAGTTTATTAACCATTGGATCGGACTAAAATTTGGTCAGCCTGTTTAGGACATCCAAATCATCAATTTCAATGGTTGGATTATCATTTGGATCTCTGAGTTACAAGTTATTAGGTACGTTTTTAACTTATATCTTTTAGATTTAGTAGATAGAGTCCAGAATAGTAAATTAGCATTTTAAAGTTTATTCACCGTTAGATTGAGCTATAATTTGGAGGATAGTATCATGATAGATAGGAAATTAAATTCAATGGTTAGATTAAGGATTTAACTTCTGTAGTGAGAATAACCTGGTTCGTACTAAGTCTATTTGTCTAAATCCTTCGAAGATGGAATATAAGTTATAAATTTACAGTTTGTCCGTTTATATTATGAATTTGATGATCCTAATAATATAATCTAATAATTAAAGGATATTTAAATAAGAAAAATTTAGAAATCAAGTTTAAATCATATATATGTTCTCATTCCAAGCCTTAGAGAAATGTCTTTTAATTCTGAGTAAAAATCAAAGCTTTTAGAGGAGGTGTTAGAGGCTAGAATTTTGTGAGTAGTCTATTCTAATACTATAGAGATAACATTTTAATTTTGTTTTGTAGATATAAACTCTATTGTGGCATTTTCAAGGTTGGATTTTGGTTGTAGTTGACTGTTAGCTAGGAGACCAGGTAACTAAATTTCTATCTGTTGCATACTCTAGTATGAAGTTGGTGAGCGGCTTTATAACTAATTCTATAAAAGTATATTATATTTGTATGAACTGTCTTGTGAGATGCTATTTTGAAAAGGATTGACACAGTTTGTATTGCAAGAAATTGGTGATCATGATTATGATGTGTTATTATGAAATTCCATTGATTATGCATATAAATGTGTCATTTTGAACCCTGTGCATCTATTTTGGGTGGGGAAGGAGATAATTAGAGTTATTGAGATTCATATACTTGTCACGTGGTATTAGCCTCCATATGGAGTTTTGTGGTTGGCTATTATTATTGTCCCACTAGTTCTTTGAGGGACTGCGACACCCCACTAGTTCTTCAAGTGGGGACCCATGGTCCATTGAGTACTCTGTGGTCTTTGACCGGTCCACATCATTCGTGTGGTGAGCTTGTCAGAGTTGCCAGTCAAATGGAAAGAACTTAGCCCATGGGTCCATTCGGCGGAAATAAGGAGGATATAAGGATGGATTTGGGTTTAGGAATTGCATATGACATGGGATATTCATTGATATTTATGTCTTTTAAATAAATGACAAGTATGTTATCTCTTTTGAAATGTATCAATTGCATGACAGTGTTGGAAATATTTGTCTTATATGATTATTGTGAGTTTAAATGTTAAATAAATGTTTATCAATTATTATTAACTCTGTGTATACCACCTGACACCTCACTAGCCCATGCTAGGGTGTGTGATAGGTAGGGATTTAGTTACTGAGACGTTGTCTCACTCCCGTTGCTTTACCATTTTCAGGAAATAATATGTTAGCGGGACCTTCAGGGAAGACTCCTGAGGTTCAATAGTTGTAGCTGACAGTGTAGAGCTTTAGGACCTTATTTTATGCAATCTTTTTGTATATTGCCACACATCAGGATTGCATTCATTTGGGACTTATTTTACCTTCTCATATTTTTTATGTCGTTTGACTTAGTGAACATATTATACCTTTTATCTTTGACTTATCTTGTCTGAACATTAGACTAGAGTGCTCGTAGTGGGCCCGAGGCCTTTAGATTGCATGTGATTGAATTATTGTGGATCCACGATGTGATAATGGCAATTTTTGCAAGTTTAGTTGTTACTAGTATTGACTAATATAGTCAAATCTAAACTGTTATTATAATTTATTATTCAAAGGCGTATTGTTTTATAATCATGTTTGCCATGATTACAAATATAGGTTATTCTTTTTCTAACCATGATAGCCTTAATTAAGGTCGAATGCTTTTCTATCATGGTTAGCCCCTTAGTGATGTGATTGCTCTTAAATAATAGCAGCCAATCATAAAGCTCCGTATGGAGGCTAATACCACGTGGCAAGTATATGAATCTCAATAATTCCAATTATCTCCTTTCCCTACCCAAAATAGATGCACAGGGTTCAAAATGACACATTTATATGCATAATCAACGGAATTTCATAATAACACATCATAATCATGATCACCAATTTCTTGCAATACAAACTATGTCAATCCTTTTTTTTTTTAATAGCATCCCACAAGATAGTTCATACAAAACATAATATACTTTTATAGAATTAGTTATAAAGCTGCTCACCAACTTCATACTAG